GCGCTGAGGCGAAGAAAGTCAAAGGAGAGCTGCTTGCGCCCCCGGCCACTCTCTCCTTACCTAGTGGGCACCAAGTCCGATTGTCTCCTGAATACCGATATCTCGGTGTTGTCACCACACCCAGGGATACTGGTAGGCGAGATACTGAACTGTGCGCGCAACGAGCCCATGCCGCTTGGGCCCATGCGAAGAGCCTCATCGCTAATGACCGGGTCCCATGGAGACTCAAGCAAACGTGGATGGCCGGCCGAGTTCTCCCGGCTGCTTACGCCACGATCTGCACTTCGATTGCTGTGTCAGAGCGCGCTCTTGCCCCGCTAACTGGCTTCTTTGAGAGGGCCGCCCGACAGCTTGTCTCCTCCTGGACGTATGGGCACATTCTGTCTCGTCCTCTCCTCATTCTGCTCTTGGGGTTGTCGGCTCCTGAAGATGCATATTGTCTTGCCAGGGTCCGATTGGTGGTCCAGGTCCTTCCAAAAGGTCCCGAGTGTGTGCAATCCCTGGTCGAAGCTGTGTGGAATCGTGCCACACCGTGGGGGCAAGTTCTGGTCGAAGCATGCCAGGAAGTCGCGCACGGCTGCCCAGGCGACTGGAACCCGGTCGAGGTGACTACCGTGTTTGTCCGTCAACAGGCGCTTGGGCTTCTGAAAGCATGCAAGCACCTCAGCAGACAGGGGTCCGCTTACCGGGCGCTCAGACAGCTTTGGCAGGAGGTAGGATGCCCAAAGACTACCAAAGTGCTCGGTGCTCGCTCTCCGCAAGCCTGTCCGCTGTGTGCTGCTATCCTACCCAGCGTGCAAGCACTCGCTGCGCACATTCATCGCAAGCATTCCGTCGTGAATTTGCTCACGCGTTACACATGTGGCACGGTGTGTCTCTGGTACCACACTGAGCAACACTCTACTGACAGGCTTAAATATCACCTGCGTCACTCACCAGCATGCATGCATGGTTTGCGGGTGGTGGTCGGGCCAGCCTACACCTACGGATCGGGTACCAAACGCAAGGGACCCCGCTGCCATAGGGGCCTACCGGCCATTCGTCTCCCCGGCCCTATCAATGCCACTCCGGCGCAGCGATATGCAGCGGAGCACTATCAGCCTTGCTCTGACGAGGATTTGCGTGCCGAACGTCGTCAGGTTCTGGGCACAGATGACGTGTACTCCTGGCCAGGCGACAGCACGCAACTACTATCATCAGGCGATGGTGTTGCCCTCGAGTCGCCAGGCATCGACTGCGCAAGCGATGAGGTTGCACCCAACGTGTGCCCCACCGGGGGTGCGCTAGACGCTCGGAGTGGGTGCCCTGCTTCGCGGCTGCCGCTTGGGCAGTACTTTCTCATTGAGATGGAGACGCAGGTCACAGTGCTTTCAAATGCCTTCCTGAGTGTGGTGTCACCGCGCTGGGATGCTATTCTGCTTTCCCCTGCCTGCTGGCGGCTTCCGGAGCGTTGGCACACTCTGTGGGCCCTGTGGCACAGTGTGCACTGCTGTCATCCCTGGGCCTTTTCTGAGCGCGCCAATTACAGGCCCCTGAGGGAGGCTCTGGATTCAGGCCATGGCGCTTCCTACGGTCCACCGTTGCCCCTGCAGGCGTTATTACATGCCACAGTTACATTTCGCATGGTCTGCATTCATGTGTCGCTGGGGGGCGCTATTTGGATACCTGGCCGGTTGGGCGCAGCTGGTATCCGTCTATGGCGATCGCTCCTGCCGAATGCTATTTTCTTCCAGCTCGCGACGCCTTCCGTGTTCGCTGCTGCACATCCGGACGTTGCTTCTGCTGTCCGGTCCCACTTGAGCACTCGCCCTCCTGCAGTTTCTGCTTTGAGCGATGAGCTCGTGATCCGTGCCTCAGCGATCTTTCGTTCCTTTTCACCTGCGGCTGTTGGGTCGTAGCTTGTTTTCTCGCTCCCCATCTGCTGCTCTTTCGGCTTTGTTAAGTTCTTCCCGCGCAGCTTACAGCAAGCTTCGCTTTTGGGAACATGCATGGCGCTCAGGACTTCGGACTCTCCTTTCGCGCGTGAGTGCGTGAGTGAGTAAGCTAGGGTTAAGGATGGGCCATAGCTTTACAGCTTTCTTGTTCTCAGGTAGCTCCAAAGCCCCCATGGGGTTTCCCAAGGGCTTTCAACAGGGAGCGAGCCTACAGCAAGTTGGGCCCAGGATTCAGTTTGAAGCTTCTAATTTTTAGCGCCTTCTGGGGTTTAGGCAAGCATAGACTGCCTGCAAGTTGGGCCCTGACCTGTGGACCTTCAATCTTTCGCCCCAAGGCCCAGGCCCTAAACACAACAGCCCTCGATCTTTGTCCTTACAGCCCCGCAGCCATAAACCTTACAGGTCTTTCATGAATCTCAAGCTTGTTTTCAGGTTTTTCTTGCTGTCGTCCCCAATCCTTAGGCCTGAAAGCGTCGCTTTTCTGGTTTCCTGGCAGGTTAGGGCCGTTTGGGGTTTGCGATATACTGTATGGATCCCGAGGAATGCACTCGCCCGCAACCTGTTATGAAAAACCTCCCGTCCCAACTGCACAAACAGATGAGATGCAGGCTTCGTTTGTCTGCCGGGTTCCTTGAGAATGTCGGTGAGGGTTTGTTTGGGGGTGTCCGTAAAGGAATCTTAGCAATAAGGATTTCATGGTTTTATATGTTACAACTTACAACCCAACACAGTAGTATTCATGGCAACAACCCATAACGACAGTATACAGTATAGTTTAGTTCTTGATGTTGACGACTGATCAAATGGAGGCCACGTTGCCTCAACGAAAAAAGCCGTGCTTGGACTAATCCTAAAGCCTCAAAGCCTCAAGTCCTACACGGGCCAAGTTTCATCCCTACATCCTCAAACTCCTAAGCCCATACGTCCTCGGTGTTTTCATTCATCACGCCCTAAGAGCAGGAAGCCTACAGAGTCGCGAAAGAAACACCCCGTTCAACAACGAAACCAAACTCGATGGTAGCCAATGTTAGCCTGTAGGCTAAGTTTAGAACCACCCAAAGCCACACGACCCATAATTTCCAAACCCTCACCCTCCAACCCCCCAAAACCCTCATCCCGAAACGTTGACGAACCAGATAATCAAGGCGTCAGGATGACTACCAAGATTATTCCGTAGGGTTCCGTCTATACTACACCCCGACTGCAGGTCTCGGAGCGTCGAGCTCGGCCTGTCAGACACGCCATATCGACCTGCAGGGGTCTCGGAAGTTGGGAAGTTCTGGGATAGATTAAGGGGTGGCTGACAGCTTTTGACTTAGCTAGGGGTAAAGAGAATAGAGCTGTGCATAAGCTGGACTTGGTGCTTGGGGCTCTTTGCCAGCAGCGGAGATGACATTGGGTTCTGAGGCAGAAACCTGGTGCCTTAGGGCTAACGCGCTCAGAGTTTAGGGTCTTAGGCTGAGGATAAGCTAGTGTCTGTAAGAGGAGCAGAAAACCAACCTGCACATAAAAGCTCCTCACATAAACTATTGCATAGTATGTGTGGATGTGTATGCATGTATGTATATATATATATATCTACTCACATAAGGAGAGAGGGAGGGAGGGATGGAGAGAGAGAGAAGGAGGGAGAGATAGAGGACAGAGAGTCATAGAGAGAGAGAGAGAGAGAGAGAGAGAGAGAGAGAGAGAGAGCGAGAGAAGAGAGACAGACAGAGAGAGAGACAGAGAGAGAGAGAGAGAGAGAGAGAGAGAGAGAGAGAGAGAGAGAGAGAGAGAGAGAGAGAGAGAGAGAGAGAGAGAGAGAGAGAGAGAGAGAGAGAGAGAGAGAGAGAGAGAGAGAGAGAGAGAGAGAGCGAGAGAGAGAGAGAGAGAAAGAGATAGAGAGAGAGAGAGGGAGAGAGAGCGAGAGAGAGCGAGAGAGAGCGAGAGAGAGAGAAAGAGAGAGAGAGAGAGAGTGAGAGAGTGAGGGGGAGAGAGAGAGAGAGAGAGAGAGTGTGTGTGTGTGTGTTTGTGTGTGTTTGTGTGAGTTGGCACATTTGCACACGGGTTTTTATCATCGCAAGTTTAGATCCTCATTATTGGAATTGCAGCGTCAGGTTGCGGGTCTGGACCGTGAAGCCCTAGACCCTGATCCCTAAACGATAAACACTTAAACCGTGAACCGCGCTTAGGGCATTGGGCGTGACCCGTTGCATGCTTTGAGCCTTCACGTGAACCCTGCGAAGAGGAGGGGAGGCTTTATTCATCAGCGGATTAAGCTAGTGCTTGCCGATCTCGAAGACTAAAGCCGTGGCATGTGAGAGCAACGAACTGAATCCTTCCACCTTCGAGTTCTTCGTGCGGTAGGTCTGAGCGTGATCGCAGGGACAGTCAGTGAAGCGCAGGAGTACGACGCTGGAGAGATGAAGCGCATGAAAGCATAGGCATAGTTAGTTGTATGTATTGTTTGGCATCTCGTGTCCTCGGGACCCGCAGTCCCGAGGTGCCTGGACGACGCCCTGGCAGGCTCGCCGAGGGGGGGGTGCAAGCGTAAGCCTTCGCTTCGTAGGCCGGAGAAAAAGGTTCAAGGACATTAGATGTGCATGCTGCATGCTCGAGTTCAAGAATGTGCGCGGATTCTAAGGTTCCGGCTTTCGAGTTGAGTTGCTGGCTCCAATGAAGAGTCGAGCCTCCTTATGGCTTAAAGCGCTACACCCCGGGCTTTGGGACAGGGGCAGCCGCAGCAAGTGGCTGCAATATCAGCCATACACGGATTCTTGCGTCTGTGCGTTGAACCTGTAGTGCGGATCAAATTGCCGTCGGTAGGCCTGCATGAAACTGTGCATCCGTCAGCACTGGCTCCAACAGAAAGTTTCGGAATAAGGTAGGGAGTTGGGAGATTTCGGTTTTGATGATCGCAGCGCAACACACCTGCGCTGTTCTTGACCCACACAAGCGCATTATAGTCAATAGTTGAGGCGTAAACCTTAAAAACTAAGTTCTGCTGACCCTACATTGTCAATCCTAAATTCTTAAGTCGAAACCCCAAACCTTCAACCGTCAATCCTAAAACGAGTACCCACCATGTTGGATGATGCGCCGGATGCGGCCCGCGCCCCCTTCATGCTCGAAGACGCGCCGACAGCGCGAGCCTGGCGCTTTCCACGCTTGAACCTCCGGCAGGCCTCAGTCCCGGTCGAGGGGTTTGGGGAGGTTCGGGCTTTAGGGTTTAAGACTTATAGGGATAATTGCATATGGATTCAGGGGTTAAGGGTTAAGGGGTAGAGTTTTTGAGGGCGTCCGGATCAGGTGTAGTGGAGCCTTTACTTGGTCAAAGCAGCACAGTGCGAATGTCCGAGTCCAAGGATATTTATTGTGTGTAGTCCCGCAGATATGGGTCACCGCAGCAACTAATCTGAGAACTGGGGATCTGGCAACATCTTTTCCTCGCCAACGTTAAACAGGTCGCCCTGCTCGTGCTCGTCTTGCTGCTCGGTTTCTGGCTTGGGGCCGCCTTGAGCCCAACTCGGGCCACTACCAGGGCTCCACGGGCAAGTCAAGGTGCGCTTTCGGAGCCTTTGTGTCTTCTTCGGGTGGTTTCGGAGGATTTAGGATTTAGGGCGCAGGACCTGCAGGATTCGGGGTTTGGTGCAATGGCTTGAGATGGGATCGGTGCCGGGCCCTAGCAGTGCGTCAAGTCTACCAGGGCTGTTGGTAATATGGGGACCCAAATAATTGCGAATGTTTGTCTTTACGGCTTCTTGATATTATCATCAGTTTATGGCTGAAACCTGGTTCGAATTATCATGGACCCTATTATCGGCGGTGTGATGGCAGTTAACATCTCGACTCACACAAGTCTCACAGACTCCGATCACAGTTTTGGTCTTGACCATGCCCTTTTGTAGACCGACCATTACCCCTAAACTTCCTAAACCCTAAACCCCAAATCAATCCCCAAGCCCGAACCCGAATCCTAGAGTCTTTGCCAGAACCTTGAACCCTGCAGTCCCAACCTGACCCTGATTCCTGGATCTTGAAGCTGCAATCGAAACTAAAACCCTGAGCCTGGAAACCCAGATGCCCAAACCTTAAAATCCGAGAATCCCCAAACCCTTCAGTTTCAAACGTCGTATTGAGGGCGGAGCCATTTGGGAATACTATTCCTTCCGGCTCCTAGTGCAGATTTTATCGTAATATACCCCCAAAGCCTATTCTAACCTTCAGGGCCCCTGTACTATAGATCTTTTGACTTTTAGAGGAACCCTTACATTATAGAAGCCCGATTATCCCTAAACCCTATCCCTAAACTTTAGACCCTAAGTCCTAAGCTCCCAGTATCAGTCGGCAGGGCCCGAAGCCCCGGCTCCCGCCACTCCGGCGGCTGCGACGGATCTTTTGCTTCTCGGGCTACACTCTGCGATTCGGTTTGGGGGTAATTGTTGGGTGCAGGGTTTGGGATTGGGGGTTGGGGGTTTAAAATTCTAGAAAGCTCAGCTCGAGGGCGCTTGTTTTCTACTGTGCTTGGCAGGCATTGGGACAGATGAGTTGTGGCTTCCACCGGGTGTAAGGATCCAGTGTCTCCGGTTCAGTGTTTTGGGGTGGCATCTGTGAACTGATTTTTGTAATTTTTCAGTTTTGTGGTTTTGGTTTATGTGGGTTCGTTGAGTAGTGCAACGACACGGGACGCGTAGAAGGAGCTGCCAGGACATTTAGAACCGCACAACCCGCGATACATATGTGGGTTCGCTAAACCCTACACCACTGAGCCTTACAACCCTAAACACCAAACTTCTAAACCCTGAACATTGATGAACCCACCGGCCTTTTTTATCTGTTTTTGACGACTTACCATGTCCCCCCTACCTGGCCTTACGTACCTGCAGCTCATACGTCCTGAAGAATGCGAAGAGACTGGCTGAAGCCCTTCAGCTAGAAGACCTTGGCTTTAAGCCACCCCGAGCTTAAGACCTAAGCTTGGAGTTCGGTGTCCATGATCCTCGAAGTAGAATGGGACAGGAGGCCCTCGTCTGACCGAGGCCTTTGCAAGATCTCCGGAGGAGCTTGGAGAAGTTACTTTCCTGAAGGAAGGTCTTGGCTTTCGGGTATGCTGGATTTTCAGAGACTACACAGGTGCTGCAAAGTTGATGTCTTGATGCTCTTGCAAAGAGGAAGGGTCAGGTGGTTGACAGTTAAGGGGTTGTCTCTGATTTCTGGGTTGTGGCTACGGCGATTTAGGCTTTTAATGGCTATTTATGAGGGCTTCAGTAGGCGGGGGGCGCAGGACTGCTTGTCATGAGGACAGCATCGCACCAGACTATGGTTGAGGGTTGACGGAGCCATGTTGCTTCCGTTGAAAGGCTTTGATCAGAGGAAAGCTTATGTACTGGGTGAAAGCATACACTCACACAACGAGTCATATGCATTCAAACTGAGAACAGCACACAAAGCACCATGGTAGTTGTAAAACGGGTGTTAGCCATTTGGATCGGACTGCTTTCGTGGTTGAGGGAGCTTCGGGCTCGCTGGGCTTTAGTAGCGTTTTCGGGCATCCATGCCCACATGTCAGGGATTTCTTCGATCTAGGCTCATGGTGGGTGTCGGTGGTGATGGGTGGAATGGCCATAGGAACATCAGCTGTGCTTTGACGCGCACCTGTGACGCACGCGCCCGTTCGTCATGGGTGTTGAAACTTACAGATTAGAGCCTTTTCCGTCGAAAGCGAACTGATCTACCAGTCCTTAAAAAACTCAAGTCGACCACCTCGTGAATCTAGTTTTCGGGCACGCTTCTGCCCCAACTCAGAAAGAACCCTCTTCCCCGAAATGGAGTCCTCAGCCTACTTGTTCCTAATACCACGGCACCTCACCGAATGGGTAGATAGATAAGACAGGCAGGTATAGATAGAGAGGTGGGTAGATAGATAGATCGATGTATGAAATCTCGCTCGGGATTTCACTGTGCCACATCTAATCAAAGGCTCACATCCCAGCTGCAGTTCGCCGAGCTGCGTGCGCCTGCTGCAGTGGCGTCCAGGAGCTATGTGCTTTTGGCGACGGGTAGACAACACTTTTAAGCTCCACCTGTAGTGGGTAAAGTGGCTGCCATCGTAAGTAGTGTAGAGTCTCTCTGAATTGCAGTTCAGCCCCACATCTAGCGACCAGTCTTCAAGCACCTGGCCATCCGAACGAGGATCTGAGAGACTCCCAGCAAGGTCCCGATCCCAATCTGACCTGCCACTTCACCTGTAATGTTTGAAGCATCTTCACCTGTCTCGTAGCACCACCGCCACAACCATCCTCTCCTTCACCAGCAGCCTCAAACTCACCACGATGCTGCCTCTCCTGTGAAGCTTCGCAGTGAGATGGTCCCTGCAAGGATGTCCGGCTGTTGGACTGTTGGAACTTGCCATTAGTGGCCCCACCTCGAACCAACCGACCCGCGGCTACCCGTTTTAACAATGGGTGGAAGACATGTTGAGCTGTTTGCATCCTACGCCCAGGGATCCCGGGAATGAAGACGGATCATGCTTTGACTTGTGACACATGTAGCACGAAGCTGAACATCGCGAGATCCGGGTTATGCGGGCACCATGAGACCTAGCGCAGCTGCGAACAGGAGCTATGTTCGAGATTGCGAGGTCAGCCGGCAGCGGGATTACGGAGAACCATTGCTGTCGTCACTTGGCAATTTGATCATGCTGATTGTTTGTCACACCATAGCATACTTTGACACAATGTCTTGTTGGCATGTGCCGTGGCAGTTCCCCATGAGAGCAGCTCCCCTGGGGCGAAGAACCTCCAAATCGACCAGGGCTCTCATCATAAATCTGAGCATTTGAGGCCTTGTACTCCTGACCTCTGTTCGCGGGGAGACGTGGATATGGGCACAACCTGCCAGGGCCGAGAGGAGACATATTACCGGTGCGAGCGAAGATGTGGAGTTCGAGCGGCACGGCCAGGGGCTTCCGGCGAGAGGTCTCCCCCGCCACGTGGTAGCGTGATCACCTGCTCTGATGACTTTACAGGGCACTCCAGCGACCAGCGGCATGTTGTTCAAAGATCTTTGGAGTGGACTGCTTCTGCCGATCACCTTCTAGTGGTGGATCTTTGGGGGGGCGGCGGGGGAGGAAGCGGCTCAGTCATAAAGAGGCAGCAAACACAAGATATCGAGGTGACAGTGAATGTTGCTGGCTTTCGGGGCCAGTTCCGAGCTCCGAGTGGTGTCTACCATCGCGATGTTGACAGTGCTGGCAACGTCAGGTATGTCAGCCGGGGCGACGTGTACCATCTCGGGCGCGGGGACAATTGCATCAATGCAAAGAAGCCCTGCTGGGGCATCAGGCTGAACCCGGACCCCGATAATGTCACGTCAGACGACATTCAGGGACCAAGTCTTTCCCCGGTTGCAGAGTTGGATTGGCAATCTGACGACCTGCCACTTGGCAGGCGAGACTGGTCCTTCTTCGATACATGGACAGGCCGTTATGGAGGGCAGGGCGAGACACAGGGCGTTGTGGAAGTGAAGCGCTTGGTGACATCCTATGGAGTCTGTGGTGGCTCGGGCGGTGGCGGTGCATTCGCCCGTGCTCTGGTGGAGGTTAAAGCCGGGCGCACTTACCGCGTCGAAGCTGGACGTGGTGGCAGGTTCGGCGCAGGTGGGCGCGGTGCCGAGAGAGGCCAAAGTAGCCGAATGCTGGAGAAGAGTGACGTAGGGGAGTGGCGTGTCGTGGCAGAGGCCGGTGGAGGGGTCGGTGCCGGGTCATTCGACGACAAGTCCCAGTTTTCCCCTGGAGGTCAAGGAGGTGCGGCGCCCGACTTAAAAGCTCACACATCCACAGCTAGTGGACACCGAGGGCAGCCATCTCGGTCTAGTATGCAACTATCGGACACCATACTGTTTCCAGATGCTTTGCAGACACTTCCGCGTAGGCTGTTCGATGACAGTATGGACCTGGTCTGCCGCAACACCCGAGGAGCAGCTGCAGGTGTGGACCGGAAGTCTGAGTACGCGTGCCTTGATCCAGTTCCACGTGATTATAGAAGCTATTTGCCATCGGTGTGCATGGTTCAGAATGCACGCCGCCCGGTGGCCGGATACTGGGATTGGGACTACTTCGTCAGCTGCGACGTCCGCTGCGTGGGAACAGAGTGGCCTTCATCCCCGTCCGGTGGCTCCGCCGCTAGTTCTACTGGGCTTGCAGAGCAGATGAAGGCCGGACAGGGAGGGAATGGCAGCTGCCCGCAAAAGCGGCAGCCCTTTAAGGCTTCGTTGGAGAACAGGCCTGGGAACAATGGAAAGGATGGTTTGGGCATTGTCCGCCATTGCAGGAGGGAGGGAGCTTATACTCTCGCTCTGCAACGCTGTGAAGGCAGCAGCTCCTGGACCATCCATGGCCTGTGGCCCCGTGGCGTGCGAGACTGTGCAAACACCGCCCTGGATGTGTCCGCTCTCTCCGGCCTGCAGCCCCAAATGGTGTCCCAGTGGCCTTCGTGCTTGCCGTCTACTGAAGCTGGGTTTTGTTAGTTGGGGAACTTACAATATTCAGACCAGGGGTACGTATCCCGTAATGTTCAGTCAAGCTCCATCTCAGAACCCAGGAAGCTGAAGACTTCTGGCAACACGAGTGGCAGAAGCACGGCACCTGCTTCAGCAGCAGCCCAGTCCACTATTTTGAGCTGACGCTGCGCTTGTTTGACCGGCACTCCCATGCCTGCGCTGACTTCACATCAAGAGATTGCCGGCTCTGCCTCTTGGGCGCACGCTTTCTGGTCTCGGGGCTTTAGAGTTTCGGATTTGTGTTCTGCTCAGAAGTTTATGTCTTAGGGTTTCAGGCTCCCGGACATGGGTTTCCCATGCTAGCTTCCAAAGCTCAAAGAACCACAGCCTGAACCCTGTAGAGCCAAAACCCCGAACACAACCCACCGCCCCAAATCCCAGAACCTACCACGCCAGTTCCCAACACAAAAGCACATCAACCTAGGCCTCACCGAGGAATTCGAGCTGTGCGACTGACGGCAATCATGGGCTCTCCGTAAATCGAAGGTTAGGTTTTGGGGCTTCGAGTTTTCGGGTAGGCGTGCGGGACTTGTGTAAGGGTGTCAGGGTTGACGCGCTGGGCTTCATGCTAGGGCAGGTGAGGCTTCAGGTTTAGGATCAATGAGGATTGGAGTTTGACGGTTTAGGGCTTGCCGCAGCTCTGCCTTACACCAGTGACTGTTTGGGGCTGGGCGGCTTTTATGAGTTTGTAGGGCTTAGGGCACTTACAACCCTACATGCTAGATCTACACTCTACACTCCCTTGAGCCCAATTCGCCAAGACCGAAACCCGAAACGTCCTAAGCCCGAAACCCTAAATCTTTATCCCTACATAGTTCATTTTTTGGAGACTTCTCGTCTTGGGCCAATAGGTCAGCTGTTGAGTTTCACAGCCTTCCTGGCCCACCGTGGACGAACCTGCGAGCTGTTGACAAAGAAGCTTCTCACTACGATGCAGAGGAGTGCTTAATCTTTAGCATATCTTCGCGGAAGGGGGATTGGGGCAGATTCCCTACTACCCAAAGGTAAGAACATTGACAGTCTGGGCCTTGGGATTTTCAGCTCAACCACCCTAAACCCTAAACCCTAAACAGTGCCTTGCGGCCAGGCCAAAAGGCGATGGGAGCACTGCAGGCCGAAACATTGCCCGAACCAAGGGGCCTTCATTCTTGGAAGCGCGCTTTCGGGCATACAAAGCTAAGGAGAATAATTTGTGGCAACGCCTGTAAACCATATCAAACCTTTTCCCCGTTCCCATGTGTTACCGCAGGCCTCACCGAACTGGTCTTGTCCCACCCAACATTTGCGACATTACGAAGCCTTTATGTAGTCTCAACTCCTTTTCAGGAAACAAGGATATGGTTGTAAGAAGCCCTACAGCCAAAAAGATGCATACAGTCCTCGGGTATACTTGTTTCGGCACTTCGGGCCTCGAGGTTTGGGCTCCCAAACCGGACCTGGCTACAACCCTGCAGCCCCCGACCGGTCCAGAATCTGAGGTTTAGGGGAAGTTGCGATGAGGCCTGAAGCCCTGCAAAGCTACCGTAAGCCTTGACGGTCCAGAGGACTTTTCAGCCATGTGAACCCTGCCAGATACAAATCCGTGAGGCTGAACCTCCAGAGCTTCGTGTGGCACCGCCTGGCAAACTTGTCAACTACTTTGTTTTGTCGACTTCTTGTACTGTAGAGGTATACTGGTAAGTATATTTGTTCCTGAATACGTCTTGGTGCGCTAGAACTACCATGCAGACAAGCCCCAAAGCCTTTCAGGGCTCCATAGCGCCTCGAGAGGGGACAGCTGAGTTTCAGAGGAGGCGGAGATCGAGGCCCCGTGCTGTTTCTGGGTTTGCGGCATCCTCGAAAGCAGCCCAGTAACTGGAGACTGCTGTTAAGGAATTTGGAGGCTTTGAGGGGATTGTGGGATTCAGGGTACAGGTGTTTGAAGGTAGGGGCAAGATGTATCAAGTTCAGAGCCTTGTGCACTGGCTTGAGGCTCAATGTGGCTCCTGCGCTGTCGATTGGAAGATTCCCGAACCCTCGAGTTCAAAAGTTCCGATCCACAGCAAAAGGGGGAGACATTCTGGCAGTCCAGGTTTCAACAGAGTACTTTCTAGGTTTTCGGGATATATCGGGGCCGGACACGCTACCTGTTTGATGGTCGCATCTGTGAACCTGCCATGCGCATTGGACGCCATCATCCGGAAACGATACAATCTAAACCGCCATCGAGTCCCGAACCCCAAACCCCACAGCCCCAAAGCTCAATAGGCCTGCTTCCTGCTCAAGTTTCAATCTGCCAACATCATGCCGCAGCCTGCATCATTCCACCTTTGGGATTTCGCTGTTTGGTTTACACAGGTTAGCCCATGTGAAGATGTCAGCACGTGGGGTCCATCCATGTTGGTGTCCTTTATGGTCACGATTACCCCGATTTCCGCACCCTGAATCCTAAGCCCGGGGCGGTTTGTTCGGGAATTGAGCAGGGCCCTCGCAGGTGCCTCGAGAACGACGATCCAGTGCGGTTTGGCCTCATGACTTTCGAGTCTGTGGTTTAGGCTTTAGGCACGGCCTCGGCAAGTTTCACCGTTGATCTCTTAGGAAGCGCAAAAACTGTGCTTTTATTATCGGGTTCAGGATTCTCGGCAGCACGCCTACGCCTTCGTCCCTTGACCTGCGCCCTACACTGAAGTAGTCACGACCTCTGAACCCGAGGAGACCCACACCTTAGACCGTCGAAATGTTCAGGCTAGGACCAATTACGGCCCATCTTGTTTTCATTCACTTTGATTGAAATCGGAGTCGGGAGGTGGTTGACCAGATGTCTGATGCAGAAGGAGGCCAATCTACAAAAGCAGAAGCTCATGTGTGGAAGAGGACGGTCTCGCGACTGCGGTGGCGGTTACGTGTGGTGTTGTTGGTGGTGATCTCGGTAAAATGCAGACATGGCCGTGATATGCGGTGTTGATAAACATGGTGACGATGGCGACGATTCAAAAGGAAGTCAGTGTCACTCCACATCGGAGACATTTCAAGAAAGGTTTTTGTAAACCGGAAGCCTTTTTTATTCATTGGACTACAGACCTACACCGTTTAAGCCCCACATCTTCAACCCCTGTGTAGATTCCCCATGCCTTAAAACCTTCGAGCTTGCAGCGCTATGCCGTACAACCCTGAATCTTCTAGGCCATGCCCGTCGAAACGGATGGGGGTCAATGCATGCGGGCTCAAGCGGCATCTATATATACATCTTTCTAAAGTTGCAGGGAGAGACTGCAGGCGCCCTCAAACTAGCAAGGGCTTGAGGGGCCTGAAAAGGCTTTAGCTTCCAGGCGTAGAATCGCTGGCGAGGTGAATTGTGGCTTACCCCTTAAACCCGAAACCCTGGACGATAACCCCTAAACCTGTGAGGATTCATCTGCTATGCATGTAGTGCGTGTAGTTGTAACATCAAGATGGGAACGGTGCAAGCAGCAGCAGCTGCTGCCAGTTTTCCAGTGGCAGTTGGTCTCTTCGGCATTTACTCACTATGTGTGCTCTTCAATCTGGAAACCCTAACCCTTGAGCGACTCAAACCCCAAGATGCCGCCTTGGATAGGCCCGCTATACAGGGTCGCGTGCAGAAGAGGCAAGGAGAGACCTTGCGATGGTGAGGTGTCGGCGAAAAAAGATGTGAGCGATAAGGGTGCAGGCAAGTGGGCTTTTGGGTCCGTAAGTCTCCTGACACTGGACGACTGCCCCGGAAGCCTCAATCTCCAGATGTAGTCTGACTCGGGTGGTCTCCGAACGACCCTTAGAGTGTGCAGCGCATTGCAAGGAGAGGGTGCAGTATTCGCATGCGACGGTGCGAAGCGTATCGCGGTAAGTCGTGGCTACTAGGCTCAACTTTTGAGGGTTTTGAGTCTGGTTGGGGGGGATTCTCTTCTTCAGCGCTGCCCCAAGACCACCAAACGCCCCAAAACGCAAAACACGAACGCTTGCGGATGACCTGGAAGATCGTGAGCTCAAGCCTTTAGACTTTAGGGCCTATTTTCAGGGTTCAGGGTTCAGGGTTATTTAGGGTTTAGGGTTTTGTAGAGCTCAGGGTTATTAGACGATTAGATTGTTTCACTGTCAGCGTCGCCGTCCTTAGCACATCGCCCGCAACCTTGTGGTTCCAAAATACGGGCAGCTTTGATTTTCAGGGTTCTTAGTCGTGGCGAACTTCTTTGTGGATTCAGAAACGGACCCTGCCCTCCATGTCCCAAGTCAACGGAGCATTACATGAACCCTTTTGCCGCTACTTCTTGCCTTCCTTCGCTCGGGACTCGAAACTCTGCGCCTTAAGAGCTCTTGAAGTTTAGGCTTCTGCCTCAACCTACTAAGCAAATTTCACATGGGCCTTCATATGAGGTCCCTGCAAAAAGTAGGTTCTGGACCCCAAACCCTGGACCCAGTACTGCCGAAGCCTTGAACCAAAGCTCTAAAGCAGGCCGCCCACCACAAACCAATAAACCTGAGACATGTTGAAGTCCTGCAAACTGCGCTCTCACCTCTTAACTTTATATAACACAGCTCCCTCCCCACAAGCTCTGAATTTCAATTCAACAAAACCCTAAAGCCCGAAGCCCTAAACCCGAAACCCTGGAAGAAACCCCAACCCCCCTAAAAAATCCTCTCCGACACCTTAATCCTTCAATGTCCGGCTCCGACGCTGGGGCTCGTTAGAATCGGCAGGGTGTTGTAGGGCTTTTGTGGAGCTTAGGGTTCGGATTCGAAATTCAGGAGGTTTCGGCGGTTCAGAGATTTCGGGTTTAGGGCTTATAGAGTTTGGGGTTTAGGGTCTAACGTTCTGTAGGCCGTTTACAGTGGGTTGCAGGTTGAAAAGGTGCTTAGGCCGCAAAGATGTGCAGCACGACGGTCGCAGGGCGGCAGGCCCGGGCTGTTGCCGTGGTTTCGACTGCTGGTCTGTAATATGGGAGTTTCCGAAAATTAGGGGTACCTTATTTTGGGGTCCCTCTAATAAGGATCCTACTACTTGGGGTACTATATATTAGGGTCCCCTATTTTCGGAACCTCCCATATCCCGTATAGTCACCTCAGCAGTAACGCTGATCTTGCGAAGGGTCTTCTTTTCGAGTAATCATCTTCAGGACTGGCGGTGCAGATCAAGGCTGGGGATTCTGGTCGGTTTCTGGTTTCGGGCTTTCGGGTTTTCTTTACATGGCGTTGGCTTGCAGGGAATAAAGTAAGTTAGTCGGGTGTTAAGGTTTAGGGCTCGTCCTTGTTCGGATCTCGCAACCGTAACCGGACCTCTGTGATCTCTTTGAGCTAAAACCCCTTGACTTCTATTCCTGAGCCGGCAACCCTGACTGTCACCTGCTCTTGAATGTCAAGACACAACCCCGGCACGAGTAAAACAGGAACTGGATTTGCGAAACGGAAGGTTGTAATATGGTAATCGCAGTCCTTCAAGGCGAGATTTCAGTTCCCTCTAGGAA